CAGATGCACATAGTACAGAAGACGCAGAATAGACTCTATTTCGCTGGTTTAGGGACCCTGGGTCTGATCTTGTCAGCTTAGCTTGATCTGTATATTAGCTTTTATCAAATACCTTTTGGCTCTGCAGGCGCGGCCACCCTGGGCAATTCTGCCGCCCCCGCCATTGCGAGACATGACACACACGGGTTTCTTATCCACGCTACTCATTGACGCGAGGGCCTGACCTAGTTAGCATAAACCTCTATGAGGCGGGGCTTCTTACAAAAGAGTCGGTATTGTGGGCGAAGTGGAGGAACGCTCCGTCGACCGTCTTCTTGACCGAAAGGATGCCAATAGCCCCATTACAGATACTGTTCTTGACGCCCGGATGTCCTAATCACCTGTTAGCTTGTAAGCTTCGAATGTAGGTGGCGCGTAGTACCCATGAAATCGTTGGAAATAACCGCTCTCATGGCCTCATCTTCGGTGACCTCTTCGAATCCGCCGTCTTCGCGCTTTCGATGGCTATAGTAGATGCGTGACGCGCAGGTACTGGCGGCCATGGTCGTTGCAATGTGCTCACCAGTCCCCGAAGTAACAGTCGCAATGCAGGTTGCCTCTGGATCATTAGGATCCACGGGGATTACCGCAGTCCCGATACCAACAAGTGCGGCAGGGCCGATTCGCCCGCGATGCTTCATTCCAATGCCTCCGGAAGAAGAGCCTGCTGCAATGTTTCCTTTACTGTCTATAGCTATGGCGCCGACGGTATCATTGACTCGATCAACGTCCATTGCGTCGACGCCATGGGGAGCTTCGGCAATAGACAAGTTATCGTGACTCGTAGACATGTTCCCAACAGCAACGGACCGCGCACCATCGGTTTGCTTGCCATCCTTGACCCTGGGGGCAACAAAGGGTGCTAGCTCCGAACCTGCCGGCGGCATGATACGACGTGGGTCTGCAGTTGGTGAGCTCTTGGTACTTTGAATGCTTCCACCAGTCGCCTCGGCTGGTCCTGGGCTCGAAGCCGCAGAGAGCAGCTGGGCTGGACTGGCGGTGGGAGGTCGGCGAAAGTGCGAGCTCAGGCGAGTATGTTCTCCAGACTGCTTCCTCTCCCGGAGAGTAGCGTTTTCCAGATCACGTCTCCAATGAGTCCACCTTTCTCGAGCCGACGGAGCTACTAGGCCATCAGGGGGTAGCACCACCAGCCCGTGTTCGTACGCAAAATCCGTAGCACCCTGTCCCACTAGGAAGTTTGGAGGTACTCGGGCCAGCGAGAGCGGCTTTGAGGAAGCGTCAAGGATGACCCGTGCAAGGGAGATGGGATTCTTGACCTCTACACCAGGTCGTTAGCACTGAATAGTTGACCGTACAGATCAATTTGGAAAAGACATGGAATACTCACGACCGACAGCACCCACAGCACCACTACGTCCCAGATGATTGACAACAGTAGCATCACACTCGACAGTGCCTTCAAGATTGAGGTTGCTACCATAGCCAGCGTTGGTCATCTCACTATCCTCCAGCACCATGATGGCCATCTCAACAGCGTCGACGGCTGATCCACCGTTCTTCAGTAACGACATTGCTACTCTCGCCGCTCTGCTCCTTGTTAGCTCGGTTCAGACTTGACCTGCGAAGGCGTGGGTTGGGCGTGCAGAACTCACTTCTCACAGGTCTCTAGATGCGCTTTCTCGTTGTGCGGGGCATGAAAGCCGGCTCCCGCATGAACGAAGATGGCAGAGATATCTCCGCCTCCTTTTGAGCGACTCATTGTAGAATCCAGTTGCTGGGCTCTCAGGCGAACTGAGAGGTGCAACCTGGAGAAGCACTGGAGAAGACGACGCAGTCTCGGAGGCTGTGAGTGCTTCAGGGCGGGAGGCCCCGGCAACTCACTTGTTGAGGTTCCCTCCGTGGTTTTGATACACGTAGACTTGCAGGGGTGGGTTTGGTATCAACACTGGGACGAAGATGGTAGAAGCGAGCAGTAAGAGGCGATGAAGAGAGGAAGAAACGAACTCGTCAACACACAAAAGAAAATATTGATTGTTCAGAGGAAGACGCGGGTCTCTTGATACTAGCTGGCTGCCGGGGCGATTGGTGATTTTCTGATTTCGAGCGGCGTAATTGTAGTGAACGCAGAGGTGAAACGGTGAGTATAACCGTTAAGGATAGGTTTGATATAGTAAAAATGATCACCTAGGATGCGGAGCGGGAGGGAGGGAGATAGGAAGGTAGGAGAAGAAGATAAGAATTGAGGTAGTCGAAGTGTTTAGAGGTGTTTAAGGATATGGTAGGTATCAATTGTATAGAAGAAGGGGAATGGTGAAGCCCAAACATGTAGATGGGATCATTGGATCAAGTTCCTTCCTCAGTAACTGCATTGGAGGTGGTTTCCTGAGGAGGATTTACTTGTTCCACGAATTATCATGAAGATGGAGTCTACATTTCAACTTTGAGAACAGAACTGATTCACCTCCCAATGGGAATTAGTCACATGAGAGGTACACTACAGAACCAGGATAGTCCCTGACTATGCATTGCTGGTTAAGGTTATCACCAAAAGGAGTGAGATTCTATCTATCTACATGTGGAATTGAAGGTAATAACATCTGCAGTGTATTGTGGATGCAGTGGGTGTACCATACCAAACGTGACGTCGTTACCCGTAAAGTATGGGGCAGCCGCAGTATCCAGGCAGGGCATCCAGGCATTCCATCCATCCTTGAACTGACTGCCCGCCTTCATCTCCATCTCCGTCCCTTTACCCCCCTCCTCTTCCCCTCCAATCCCCTTCTCGTCATAATTCTCGCCCGTCCTTCCTGGCGGAGTTTCTGGATGATTGCGCTCTCATTCCTGCAATCCCATTCAATCGTCTAAATTCACCTCTTCCATCTCCATCTTAGTCCGACCACTGATCAGGGGGAGTGTGCGTGTACTCCACTCCACATCATCAATCATGGCTTCCCAGACTCCGGCCGTTGTCATGGACAAGTATGCCCTTCACCATCCCCATCACACTCTACTTGCGCAGTCACTAACCCGCTTCTTCTCTCTGCTCAGCGGTACCGGTTATTCCAAGCTTGGTAGGACTCCTGATAGCGTCCACGTGGAGCTCCGCCGGCAAGCTCCAGGCTGACAAGTCTCCAGGTTTCGCCGGTAACGACTCGCCCTCTTTCGTCTTTCCCACCGCCATTGCGACTAAAGCTGGTGCCGGAGGCGCTGGCTCCTCCGCTGCCGGTAGACCTCCTGTTGCGAACAAACCCTCCTTCCTAGCTACCGGTGGTGGGGCAGGCTCCCATCTATCCGCGAAGCGTGGTACAGAGGACTTGGACTTCTTCATTGGCGATGAAGCTCTGGCAGCGGCCAACGGGCCCGGTTATGCTATCAACTACCCCATTCGCCATGGTCAAATCGAGAACTGGGACCACATGGAGCGGTTCTGGTCGAATTCCATCTTCAAGTACTTGCGCGTCGAGCCGGAGGACCACTACTTCCTCCTCACCGAGCCGGTAAGACCTCCGACGCCTCCAATTGCCCTTCGGCGGATGCGATGCTGACCGCATATTGTGTGCATAGCCCTTGAACCCCCCCGAGAACCGTGAGAACACCGCCGAGATCATGTTCGAGTCTTTCAACTGTGCCGGTCTCTACATCGCCGTCCAGGCTGTCTTGGCCCTTGCTGCCTCGTGGACCTCCTCGAAGGTGACCGACCGCTCTCTCACCGGAACCGTCATCGACTCCGGTGACGGTGTTACACACGTTATTCCCGTCGCCGAAGGCTACGTTATCGGATCATCTATCAAGAGTATACCCATTGCCGGTCGCGATATCACCTACTTTGTCCAGAGCCTGCTCCGTGACCGCGGTGAGCCGGACAGCAGCTTGAAGACGGCTGAGAAGGTCAAGGAGGAGTACTGCTACGTGTGCCCCGACATCGTCAAGGAATTCGCCCGCTACGACCGTGAGCCGGACCGCCTGCTTAAGCACACTGTGACTTCGCCCAACGGCCGGACCGTGAGCATCGATGTGGGCTACGAACGTTTCCTGGCGCCGGAGATCTTCTTCAACCCCGAGATCTATTCGTCGGACTTTTTGACCCCCCTGCCTAACGTCGTCGACGGCGTGATCCAGTCGTCCCCCATCGATGTGAGAAGGGGTCTGTACAAGAACATTGTGTTGTCTGGTGGATCTACGCTGTACAAGGACTTTGGGCGGCGTCTTCAGCGTGACATCCGTCATCTGGTGGATGCACGCATTCGGGCGTCGGAGGCGCGCAGCGGAGGTGCCAGAAGTGGTGGACTGGACGTGGCGGTTGTGACACACAAGAGACAGCGCCATGGACCGTGGTTCGGAGGTAGCTTGCTGGGACAGACGCCGGAGTTCCGCAGTTACTGCCACACCAAGGCAGAGTACGATGAGATTGGTCCTAGTATCGTGCGCCGCTTTGCGCTGTTGGGAGGCCCTGGCAGTTCGTAAATATGTGGTTCTGTCTATAGTTTAACTTGATATGCTCCTGCTTCTGCCAATATCCGGTGATAGTAAATAGATGACGGTTATCTTTTTGTCTTGATTGTATATACTAAATGTATAGTTACTCCGCTATGTTATGTTCAGGACTGCCTTTTCCACTGCCTCATAAGCCACTATCGGAGGTGAATGCCGCTACATCCTCAGAAATCAAGAAATAGCCAAGTGTATTTCTAAGCACTACTTAACTAGTAGCATTTCTAAGCAAGAAGCAGTAAGCACCAGTAGCACACTACTACTAGTATAGTACCAGAGATCACACCATTCAGCATCCAGCGATCCCTCCTAGAGCAGCATAGACCTACTCTAAACCGACTAGACGCCGCACCATACATCCCCCCGCATATACCACAATAGAGAAATAGTAGTATAAATACCAGCATGATACTCACCCCATAACTCCCAATTCCACACCCCAATCCATTCATCCCCATAACACACACACACACACACACACATAGTACCCAAAGGACACCTCCATCAAAATGTACCCCAACACCTCCCTAATCCTAACCAACATCCCCACGGGCCTCCCCACCCCCCACAAAGACCTAACCCCCCTCCCCCGCCCCCTCGACATCACCACCCCACCCACAGACCCAAACACCCTCCTCACCAAGCTCCTCTACGCCAGCCTGGACCCCTACATGCGCGGGCGCATGCGCCCCGCCCACATCAAATCCTACAGTCCACCATACCCCCTCAACTCGCCCATCACGGCCTTCGCCGTAGCCCAGGTGGTGCATTCCACGCACGCATCCTTCAAGCCGGGCGAGATCATCTACGCGCGTCTGCCTATCCAGGAATACAGCGTGCTGGCTGTATCCGCATCCCCTGCCCCTGCCACCGGCGAAGCCGGCAGCGAAGAAGAGCAGCTATGGATGCTCGAGAACAGCCTCGACGGAGCGAACAGCCCTATCCGGAAGATCCCAACCCCACTACCATCTGGGATTGAGCTGTCCCAGTATGTAGGGATCTTGGGCATGACGGGGTTGACAGCGTACGCGGGGCTGTTTGAGATCGGGGAGCCGAAGAAGGGCGAGACGGTGTTTGTGAGTAGTGCTGCTGGGGCGGTGGGGAGTGTGGTGGGACAGTTGGCGAAGAGGATTGGGTGTAGGGTGATTGGGAGTGCTGGGGGGGAGAGGAAGAGGAGGTATGTGGTGGAGGAATTGGGGTTTGATGAGTGTTTTGATTATAAGGTTGAGGGGGCGAAGGAGGCGTTGGGGAGGTTGGTTGGTGGAGAGGGGGGACGGGGGTGGATGTGTATTTTGAGAATGTGGGTGGAGAGCAATTGGATGCTGTGTTGGAGGTTATGAATAATGGGGGAGGGTTGGTAAGTTTTTCTTTTCTATTTCTTAGATGTTGGATGTTGGGTTTGGGAAATATGCTGACTGGATGATGGGATGGGATGGCAGTGGCTTGTGGAATGGTCTCACAGTATAATCTCAAGCCGGAGGAGCGGTATGGGGTTAAGAATCTGTATAATGTTGTCACGAAGAGATTGCGCATGCGTGGGTTTATTGTTGGGGATAAGGACATGGGACCTAAGTGGATCAAGGAGAGGGATGAGAAGGTTACTGCTGTGAGTGTATCATTCTTCCTGGGTATAAAGGTGATTGCTGATGATGTGTAGTGGCTCCAGGAGGGCAGTATCAATGCCAAGGAGGATATCACGGTGGGCATTGAGAATGGTCCCGAGGCGTTTGTTGCCATGTTGCGCGGGGAGAACTTGGGCAAGGCGGTTTTGAAGATTGCCGATCCTGACCTGTAGACTGAGCTCAGTTGTTTAGTTCTGTAGCGAGTTATCAGAAGTACCAGCACGATAAGTAGAGTACTATAGATGAAGAGAATTGCAAACTGCAAATGGTATTTGCTCATTGTATGTACGCGAATCTATCAGTCATGTCTCTTTTTAACCACCAACGCCATCATATATATGAATTCAAGCAGACTCGGGTATACTCGTCTTGTTCAGAATAGCCACTCCCTCAACATGTCCCGTCTGCGGGAAGAAGTCGAATCCCCGGATGCTCTCGATCTCGTACCGAATCTTCTTCTCCGCATCGCCCTGCACCATGACGGCCACATCGCGCGCCTGCGTGTGCACGTTGCAGCTGACGTAGACTACCCGGCGCGGTCCAAAGGCCAGCAGCTGCCGGAGGAAGTCGTCACTGCATCCCTTGCGCGGGGGGTCAATGACCAGCAGAGTCTGGTCAGGAGGGTAGGGGACGTCCTTGAAGAGAACGGCTGCATCTGCGGCGGCGAAACCGGTGTTCGGGAGCTTGTTGTCGCGGGCGTTGTCCCGTGCCGAGGCGATGGAGTCGCCGGCGACGTCGACGCCCAGACTGGACTTGAATAGCGGGGAGAGGGTGATGGTGAAAAGACCGGAGCCGGAGTAGGCATCCAGGAGGTATTTGATGGGTTTGGCGTCTTGGTCGTTGTTCGGGGGCATAGCGTGTTGGCGGATGAACTCGGTGAACCCTGAGAGTATGGAGTTGTTGTTCTGGAAGAATGCGCCGGCTTTGTTGGTGAAGACGTAGTCGTCGACATACTCAATGCTGGTGGCGTTCGAGTCGGTCACGCAGCGCTTCTCTTCAATATATGTATCCTTTTCGACGCGGATGACGTCGCCGGAATCCTGTCCGGGCTTGTTGATGGGCGCAGGAGGGTTCTCGCTGTCCTGCTCTTTCGGCACGCGAGTGGTCGACTCACGCATAAGAAGAGTGGCACCCTTGGTGTACTTGCCGATGGTCTCGGCCACACGCTTGCGCTCGCTCTTCAATCCCTGTCGGACAATATCGGTGCCCAACGGGCAATCTTCAATATCCAAATCCATGCGTCGGTTCTTGAAAGTGAAACCAATCGGGGGCACCTCCTTGTGCGGCTCGCGGGGTCCCTTGCCCCTCCTCTTGTTTCCGCCAGGAGCTGCAAAGTGCGGCGTAAGCTTCGTCCGGTAACCGTATTGCAGCGGAGATGGGAAAGTTTCGTCGATGGCAGGAATCAGTTCTGGAATCAAGCCAGAGAAGTTGGCGTAGGCCTTCTCCACAATGCGCTTCTTGTGCGCGAGTTGGTCTTCATACGACATCATTTGCAGCTGGCATCCGGAGCACCGGCCGAAATACTGGCAACCAATGCCGGCATCGTTGCGCTTGGGGCCAGGCTCAATGACCTTGATAAAATCTGTCATGCTGTAGGACAGGGAGGGGAAGTGCCGCACCACCTTGACCAGCACCTTGTCGCCGGGGACTGTGAAAGGAACAACGTAGACATGATCCTGGCTCTCGGACAATGCGAGACCATCACCGGTTGACGAAATCTCGGCGATCTGGACTTCAATTTCGGTGAAAGGCTCGGGAAGGGTGGGTTGCGGGGGTGTAGAAGCTTCTTCTGTCTCGAGCTCGGTTTCGGGCTTGTGTCTGCGGAGAAGCTGATCAATATCGGCCTGGAGGACCTCGTCGAAGCCGCTGCTCTTGTTATCGCGGGGAGCCTTGGCTCTCTTGCGCCGCTTTGCGACGGTGTCGGGTTTCTTGGGGGAATTCTGCATGGTGGGAGGATTGAAGGCTAATTGCGCATTGCGCGGGCAAGCAGATTGATGGAAGAGGGCCAACCGTTGGACCTGTCGAGGGACACTGGTTGGGAGCTTTCGAAGAGTATATGATCGCAAGGATCGCAAGGCAAACATATATAAATCCCGAATTAGTTAATCAGAAAATGGAGGGATTGAGAAAGTTGAAGTAGGAGGAAGAAAAGAAAGTTGGGGTGATGGAGGAAAAGGAAAAAGTGAGTGAGCAGGAAAAGGCGGGCGGGGATTGGCTGGAGTTGACCCGCTGAGAATTTCACTCGAACTTCAATGTCCTTCCCTTCGCCGTCTTGAACTTCCCCGTCCATCACCTCTTTTACTCCCCCCTTCTCCACCACCCCGGATTATTTGCTCTCAAGTGGCCTCTGCTGGCCAGAGAGCACCCCATCCGCTTCATCATGAGTCTCGCACGTCCGGCCCGATGCCTCTTCTGCAGCTTCTCGCGTGCGGCCTCCGCCGGCCCTCGCGTGCCTAGTCGCCAGTTCCACCTGTCGTCGATACAGCTCTCCGATCGGAAACCGAAGGTCCCTGAAGTCAACAAGGCCCCCGAGGGAAAGACTCTGGATGAAATTTACCGGGAGGTGAAGCTTGACGACTTCAAGCAATACACCGAGGAGGAAAAGGCCGCCCTCCGGGAACATTACACGCCCGAACAGATCGCCGCCATTGAGGCCGGTGAGAAGACCATTGACCCGAAAGACCTGGCTGAACAGTTCCGTCTCCGTCGGGATCCCATGAGGTTGAAGTATCTCGATGATTTCTCGGTCATTGAGCCCGGCGTCGACAAGCACATTCGCGCCCCCAAGACCAACTCCGACTACAACGCGACATTCAAGACCGAGGATGATTTCATGGAAGACTTCGCCCGCTTCTTTGCCGAATCATCGGAGGACCCCCAGCCGGCAGACTTCGTACGATTCCTCGAGACCAACCGGGTGACCCACGGCAAGGAGGAGAACGAGCTCAACGGACACAGCGCGCTCTCGCCCAATTTCTTGAAAGACGGAGAAACCTTGGAACATATGGGTGACGAGATAGTTCCGAGGCCGCAATACCGGACCAGATTTGGAGAACTCACATATCTGAACCCCGAAGAACCCAACGAGGCGGAGAAGAGACTTTTCCAGGTCACGGGCTACGGTAGAGAGTACATCAAGTCCCTGTACATCAAGGACCTCGTTATTCGCCGTGTCAGCAACCAGACTCGACTGGGTAAGGTCCCGAGTATGTCCGTCGTCACGGTCGCCGGTAACCAGAATGGTCTCATGGGAATTGGAATTGCCAAGTCCGATGAAATCGTCGATGCCTGCCAACAAGCTCGCGCTCGTGCTGTAAAGAACATGCAACCTGTTCCGCGCTACGAGAAGCGGACCATCTTCGGTGACGTCGAGGGCAAGGTCGGAGCTGTGGAGTTGAAGTTGATGCACCGTCCTCCAGGTACGATGTCCGCTATATGAACTATTAGCTTAGTGCTAACATTTGATATTTCTACAGGCTTCGGTCTCCGCTGCCAGCACCTGATCTTCGAAATGTGCCGCGCGGCCGGTATCCACGATATCGCCGCCCGGGTCAACCGGTCCAGAAACCCCATGAACACAGTCAAGGCCGCCTACGAGGCGCTCATGAGCCAGCGCAACCCCGAGGATATTGCCCGTGCCCGGGGTAAGAAGATGGTCGATGTACGGGGAGTGTACTACTCTGGCAAGGGCGTTCTAAGCCGTCGTGAGCGGCGAACAGCTTGAGGTTTGGGTTTGAAAGAAAGATATATCTCTCTGAACACAACACTGCATACAGACAGCAGACATGTTCATTTGCGTCATGGGCGGTGTATATAATGTTTTCTTCTTTTTTTCTTTTCTATTCTGTTCATCTTGTATTACAGTCTAAACATGTATTTGTATCCAGCATCAAGCAATACTCAATCAACAAATCAACAATTTAAAATCAACCTAGAACATACAAAACGGGGTATATAATATATCAATCACATCTATCGAACACCACCCACACCCAAAACCTAAACCAAATCACAGCATAAAAAAAAGTCACAACCCCACCCACCATCACCATATCCCATAACCATAAACCCTGCAAAGAGATATATTCAATACCTCCCAAAACTCTCCCCTTCCGCGCCATACCCTCCATACCCCCCATCCCCATACCCATACTCCCCTCCTTCACCCCCCTGCCCCATCATCCCCGAATACCCATCCCCATCCCCCTCCATCTCCTGCTGCTGCATCTGCATCTGTTGTTGCTCCTCACTCTCATTAAAAATCTGCTGTTGGAGAACAATACTATACACGCTCGCCTTGAGCAGGGTACAGACGGTGGCGGTTTGACGTTCTAGGCCGCGGAGGCCGTCCAGTGTGAGGGTCGTGGGGGATTCGGCGAGTGTGGAGAGTTTGGTTGATAACTTTAGCCCATTCGGGGTTATGGTTAGCATGCGTGTAGTGATGTGTAAAGCGTGTTTGGAGTCATAGGATTGGATGGATGGATGAAAGGATTGAGTGTAGGATGATGGGGGTATTGGGGTAGGGACACACCTTATTCACATTCCCTAATAGCCGAGTATACTCATCTAAGACTTCTTGTTCCAGGGAGCTGACGAGCGGGTTTGTGGTGCGAAGGAGAGGGTTGTTGGGGGTTTCATCTGGCGCGGAGGAGGGGGAGGGGTCTTGGTCGTGAAGGGGGGTGTGGTTGTGGGAGTCGGGTGGGGAGGACATTTTTATAAGTATCTTCTTGATAATTTCTTTTGTGCTCTTGATTTTGGGTGTCTCTGCGTGTGTTGGGAGTTGGTGGAGGTGCGTTGTTTGGTGTATGTCAAATGTAGGTGGTGATGTTTGGATCTGGTTTGGTTTGTTTGGGTCGCGGCGGATGGATTTCCGTCGTGTCTCATCCCATCAACTAACTACCAGTATCTAGCTAGATCAGAATCTAGGTCAGAAAAACACTACAGAGATCTGTGATAGTCTAGAAAATACATATAAATTCATAAACGTAATCATGTCCATAAGGCACCGGGCCTGTCCCATCGGACATCCAAGCATCAATAAGTCGCCCACAAATACAGAATAAAGAACAGAAAGCATCCCCGACCAAAACCGTCCTGGTGTGAACAAGTCAGCCCACACCACTGTTTTGCTCAAAGATGTGTTTGCTAAGGTACAACCGAAATCGCTAACGCCGTCTGCTGCAATAATTGTGATAGAAACAAAGAAACAGTCAAAACTGTTACATCGCTGCCGCATCAAACCATAAAGTGACAGCCGAATATTAGCCCATGCATGAGGGGACGCAGTCATTGGATATCAGCATATATCGATAACCACAGTGTGTATAAGAAAAAGAAAAGCAAACTCCCAACGTCAAACTTCCGATACTCCAGGTAATAGCTGTAAGATGGTGAACTCCGTGTAGAGATCTTTCATGCATCAAAGTCGTAAAATAAGCCTCTAGCAAAGCATATGCTTGGGCAGGTAGAAAGCATGGTGGTGACAATCAGGCCATTCACATGTCCCCGTCATGATGAAGGGTGACGCTGTTGAACTCCTCAAACGGATCGGCTATCTCGCCATTTGGCGTCGCAAGTCCCGAATCCATAGGTACACCCTTCATCTTGGTCGTGCTGGGTCCGCCGATGTCGACACTCGCGCTCTCCTTGACATTGCGAAAGTTGAGAGTATCCGTACCACGGCTCTGGTGAGGGATCATTGGCGGCTTCATATGCCGGATAAGCGCCCACTGCGTCTGCCGGAAGAAGGGATGGGTCTTGACGTCCGAAGCGCCGGCTCGAGCTCCAAGCCGCTTAGTCTCGTCCTTGATGAGCAGTTTACGAATTAATGATTTGCAGAGGCTGCGAATGTTAGCAACAGTGCGGTAAAGCAGACCGAGGGAGCTTACTTGGAGGTTGGCTGGGCCGCTGCATGCTCGGGGAATTGCACTTCATCTCGCAAGATGTTGCCGAACGTAGCATTCCTGTTCTTGCCCTTGAATGGTGTCGTGCCGTACAGCATCTCGTAGATCAAGATACCAAGCGTCCACCAATCGACTGCGCTAGTGTGTCCGCAGCCCTTGATGACTTCGGGTGCAATGTATTCTTCCGTACCGACAAACGAGTTGGTCCTGAAGTCAGCAATGCATGACTTGGTATCAATTGTCGGTAGAGACGTCGTAGAGTTGCCACTTCGCGCCGGGATCATTGTAGGCGCACCGCCCGGTCCGGATTGCTTCGACAGATCAAAGTCAGACAGCATGATGTGGCCAGACTGGTGGAGGAGAATGTCTAGAGAAATATAGTCAGCATAGGTCAACACCTTTGACTATTACAGTACATACTTTCGGGTTTCAGATCACGGTAGATGAAACCCATGAGATGGAGGTACTCCAGGGCAGCAGTAACTTCTGCGGCATAGAATCGCGCAGCATCTTCGGAGATGCACTTTCCTGGACGGGTTTGAAGAGCTAGAAGAGTCAGCGACAGCCGGTATCTATCGAACGTAGAACACACCTCTGAAGAACTCGCCACCACTGCAGTATTCCATGCACAGGTAGAGATAATCCTCGGACTGGAAAGAGTGGTAGAGAGTAACAATGAATGGGTGATTGCTGGTAGCAAGAATTTCCTGCTCGGCCAATGCCCGCTTAATCTTGTTCCGCTTGATCATCTCCTTCTTGCTCAGTACTAGTCAAGTCAGCACACTTCGCCAATATACAAGGCTGCAGACATAAACTCACCCTTCATAGCATAGAGTCGGCTCGACTTCTTCTCCCGGACAAGATACACCTTGCCCACATCACCCTTTCCGATCAACTTGATCTTATCAAAGCTCCCCGGTCCTACCTCGACATTGCGCACCTTGATCGAGTTGGAACTATACGTCCTGCGGAAGGCAACCGAATCCCGAATCTGGCCGGGAGTAGGAATCTTACTGTGGGGGCCAAGTTTGGGCACGGCAAGATTCACGTCTTTGTCGGACGCCACCTCCACCGTAGTGACTTGTGGATCATCCACCCCAGACGGCTCCAGAAGTTCGTTTCCAGTCTCGGCCGTCTGAGGACGTTCGTCAGACTCGCCACGGGCAAACAGACCCTGCGCATTCGGAGCCGAAGCAACACGGCGCAGCTTACGAGCCAACTCAACCTTGTTGGCTGTAGTCGCCTGCTCGGCAGCAGAGACACCGTCCACCTGCAATTCGGGGGTATCGGGCGGGGACGAGGGCACCGAGCCATCGTTCCGATGCTGCAACGAAGGCTGGCCCTGATGGACAAAGTATGGGTTGGCCGTTGCGGTCGGGGAGACGCCTTCGTCTAGCGGATTGCCTTCACTGGCAACGGTGGTTGAGCGATTTCGGCCGATAGTGGGAAGGAACCGGGATTGTCTAAAGCCGGATTTGGCATCAGACTTTGCGGGTGGGGAGGTATTGCCATCGCGATCACGCGGGTCATTGTTGTTATGGCTGGCATGGGAAGAATTGCTGCTGGAACTGTTGATGCGAAAGAAATTCTTGATCCTCGTGGGGAAGTGGCTCGAATCGTTGGAATGCTTCTTAGAGGCCAGGGAGAGACTGGGAAAGTTCCCGCGTTTCTCGTTCGTCACGGAGGACGGACTGGAGGCGAAAAGTTGTGTCATGCCGGTGACTGCCTGGATTGAATCCAGGAACGTGGCCAGGTACTCAAGTTTAGTTTGGTGATAACGAACGGGGCAAGTGGGCGATTGAGAGAATAATAATTGCGACGGGAGGGAAGGGGCCCCAGTAACGGGCCAGAAGCCGCGGGGGAAATTGGTAGGCGGTGGTGCTAGTTCGCACCAGAAACTTGGATTTAGAGGCACTTCCAGCCCGGGAACGATGGGGGTTGGCTGTGAATGGGGGACAACACCTCGGCTAGATCGCGGGCGGGGAAGAACGCAGCGTTCGCAGAGGTCGCAAAGGTATCACCGAAGAAGAAACAGAAGCTGAAGAATTGAATCCCCGGGCCAAGGACGGGCTTTCAAAGAAAAGAAACAGCAGGGGAAGAGAAAGAAGACAAGAAAGAGAGAGTGAGAGAAAGCGAAAGGGCCGGAGACGGAGTGGAGACGTGGAGGGAAAGTTGGAATGGCACAGCCTGGGCTTAGTCACGCTGCCCGGCATGATACATCATACGCCTCCATACCGGGTATAGTACGGTCACTAGTTAGTTTTTCTCACCGTCACTAACCATTTGCACTAAACTGTCTGAGTAAATAGTAAGGAATACTAAGGCGAAAGTAGAAGGGGAGCCGATAAAGCCCGATAGATAAATGTCACTTCACTTATCACCGTAGTATCGGGGTTGTCGTAACCATCTTGCTATCAGCACAGCAATCATCTCTTTCTTTCAACCCAGCCCAGCCCAGATACCTTCTATCCTTCCTGACTTCGGTATGTAATCGGTATGCATATCCGATGTCACACAGAAACTATTACTTGTTGTATACTGTAACTACTTATGTATTGTCTGCCATTCATTCAGCTCATCCCCTAACTGCCAACTTCCTCTTTGTAACTAAGTAACCAGTATAGTAGTTACCTACTCCGTAGTACTTACTCGACTAAGTAAGTTATCTTAGATCCAGTCCGATCGGGTTCACCACAAAAGCACAGCCAGCGCTCTTAGCAGATTGGCCGGTGCCTTAACCAGTTGCCACATTCTGGACTTGTTCGATTCAGCTTTGAACTTCCCATGGGCCTGCCAGCACATCTGATAGGACCATCAGGCACTCCGGCCCTCCTCCCCGAAACTTGCCCACTTGCCTCCTCGCCGTGGGTCATTTACAATACATGGAACGAAAAAAACACAGCCATTATCGCCGCTGCTATTATTGCTGTGCCTGTGCCTTTTTTTTTTTTTTTTTTTTTTTCTTTTTCTTTGTTTTAGCCCCGTATATATACTTATATATATATATATTTTTTTTTCTATTACATACATACTTTTACAGTATCATCACCACCCACACACAGACACACTCATACACTTTTATACTCACACATCCTGCTGGTCACTTGTCTACTATCTTCATCTACCTGCTCTCTCCCTAGTCAAAAACCAAGAATACGAGATGCGACCTCACATCTTTCTTTGCGGGGTGTGTGGCGGAGGACCAACCAGTCAGGCGACGGATGCTGGATGTGGGGGAATCCATCATCCACGCAAGGGGAGCTCTGGCCTCCTCAGCTACAGAGTAACGATCGACTCTGTCTTTCCCGCTGCACACCTGATTCTCCAGCAATGAAACTATTGACTACTATCTTGGCCTGGAGAAGGTGGGCTGATATCAAGTTCTCTTGATCGCTACTGATCGATAAATACCACTCCAAACGGTTTTACCAGTAACCCAGGTCCGACTGCATCTGCTATCTAACCATCCCCTGGGGGTTTCGCTGCATCAGCACAAGTGGACTGATCTTCATGCTCAAAGACTTGTGAAAATAACTTTTCCCAGTGATACCATACTAACACTATCCCTCATTCTAAGATATACTCCAACCGTAAGGGTCCGACTCTGTGGGACAAGAGGTACCCTTAAATACAAGTAATACAATGATGCCATACGGCCATATCTCCAACTGCTTTCCCCAATGCCCTTCGAACCCTGCTCCTAGGACTCACCGCTGATTGCTGGTGGTAATCTCACCCCATTCATCTCTTCCAGAAAGAATCGTATATGTGGACGCCGCGGGGACCTCGCTCTACCCGACTCGTTCACGGCTTTCCAGCTTGCTTGGCTGGTCCAAGGGCCTCTTTGCCTCTTTGTCCGGGACCATCATGCTGCTTCGAGTTCGACATCTTTCCGCTGAGTAGATACATTCCACCTTCGGTCATGTCCGTT